TGTCATAGTCATAGGAACATGTATAGTTATGGAGAAAGCAATAGCAACAAACTAAACGATCATCGTGCTAAGCTAACGGATGGGTCAAATCAATCACATCATTCTCTAATGATGTGATCCCGTTAATCAAATGACAACTCATGTCTATGGTTAGGAAACATAACCATCATTGATTCAACGAGCTAGTCAAGTAGAGGCAAACTAGTGACACTCTGTTTGTCTATGTATTCACACATGTACTAAGTTTCCGGTTAATACAATTCTAGCATGAATAATAAACATTTATCATGATGTAAGGAAATATAAATAACAACTTTATTATTGCCTCTAGGGCATATTTCCTTCAGTTTGGACATCTCAAGTGGCTAGCAATTCGGGTTATCCTATTACCTTGTGATTTTAGATGATTTTTCTCACTTCACTTGGACATTTCCGTTATGCCGCAAATCCGAAGTCGCCTCCACTCTTCATTCTTTTTATGCTTACGTCAACACCCACTTTCATCGCACCATTGCTCACCTTCAAACAGATAACGGAAAAGAATTTGATAACCTCGCCATTCGACATCTTCTCTCCACTCATGGCACCATATTTCGCCTTACCTATCCATACACATCCCAACAAAATGGTCATGCCGAACGTGTTCTCTGCACCCTCAATGAGAGTGTTCGTGCTTTGCTCTTTCATGCACACATGCCCGCCCATTTTTGGCAAGATGCTCTCGCCACCGCCACTCACCTTCTTAACATCCGGTCTTGCAAACCACGGTGGAGCTATACACCTCATCATCTTCGGTTCGGGTCTCCTCCATCCTATGATGATCTTCACGTCATTGGTTGCTTGTGTTACCCCAACATCACCGCTACCGCGCCACATAAACTTGCACCGCAGTCTCTCGCTTGTGTCTTCCTTGGCTATCAACCCAACACCAAAGGATTTCACTGCTTCAATCCGGTCTCTCGTTGTGTGTTCGTCTCGCGGCATGTTTACTTTGATGAGGCTGTTTTTCCCTTTCATCAGGTTTCACCGATGGCAGCCCCGTCCTCGGGCGCTCCCACCCGGCGGTCTCGGGGAGCCCTTTTGCTTCCCTCGCCGCGCCCGCATGGCACTTCAGTGGGCCCTTCGGGTCTCTCGATGGGACCTCCCTTTGCCGGCTTAGGCAGAGCCGGCCTCGCCTCGGCAGGCTTCCGCGCCAGCACCTGCTGGCCCACTGGCACCTCCCTCGGCAGCCTCAGGAGGTCTCTCAGCTGGTTCCTCGGCCGCCTCTCCTGTCGCGACCCCGCCCACGTTGGTTGCGGCCCTGCCCGCCCCAACATTGGTTGCAGCCTTGCCCGCCGACTCGACGTCCTCGCCACCCGCGGCCTCGCCCGCGGCACTGTCACCGTCGCCTGCGGCCTCCCCCGCGGTTCCACCCGTGGACCTGTTCGCGGCCTTCTCGCCGTCCTCGCCACCTGGGGCCTCGCCCGCAGTCATGACGCCGTCATCAGCGGTCTCGTCTACGGCCTTGACCGCCGCCTCATCGCCCGCGGTTGCTTCCACGGCCCCTTCATCGCCAGAGGTTGCGGCTCCTCCTCGACGTCGAGCTCGGCCCCCGCCTCCGCCGCCTCATCACTCTATGGTGACGCGCGCCAAAGACGAGATCCATCAACCGAACCCTCGCTATCATAATCTCAGCGTCACGGTCATCTTTCCCGTACCGCGCTCGGTGCGCTCTGCATTGAGTGATCCGCATTGGCTCGCAGCTATGCGTTCTGAGTATGATGCTCTCGTCACCAACCGGACTTGGACGTTTGTCCCTTGTCCCCCTGGTGCTAACATCATCACCGGCGAGTGGGTATTCCGGCATAAATTTCTGTGGGATGGCTCTTTGGACAGGTACAAGGCTCATTGGGTTGTTTGCGGTTTTGCACAACGTGCCGGTGTTGACTTCTCGAAGACCTTCTCCCTGGTCGTCAAACCCGCCACGATTCGTGTTGTTCTTCAGCTCGCTGCATCTCGTCACTGGCCTGTTCATCAGCTCAACATCAACAACGCCATCCTTTATGGTCATCTCTAGGAGCGTCTCCTCTGTCAGCAGCCTACTGGTTTTGTTGATCCCACTCGGCCTAATGATGTCTGCTTGCTATCACAGTCTCTATATGGTCTGAAACAGGCGCCTCGTGCTTGGTATCAATGCATTGCAGCATTCCTCATTGCTCTTGGGTTTCGCAGCACCACCTCCGACATTTGTGCTTCATCGAGCTGATCATGTATGCTATCGCTATCTGTGCGAGATGATCATGTCGCCATGCTTCTTTTGCATGTTGAAGATATTGTCATCACCGCCTCTCGCACGGATCTACTTCGCGACATCATTGGTCGTCTTGGTTCTGAGTTTTGGCTGAAGGACTTGGGTGCATTGCACTTCTTCCTCGGCATTAATGTGAGACGTGATGCCTCCGGATTTTTTCTTCATCAAGGACAATATGCTCTTGATCTCTTGGATCGTGCTGGTATGACCGACTGCAAGCCTGCTGCTACTCCTGCCGAGGCCAAGCCAAAGCTCTCTGCTACTGCCGGGCAGCCTGCCACTGATGCCGCTCTCTACCGCAGTATTGTTGGTGCTCTTCAGTACCTCACGCTCACCAGACCCGACATTCAGTTTGCGGCGCAGCAAGTTTGCTTGCATATGCACTCGCCCCGTGATGTTCACTGGTCTCTGGTCAAGCGCATTCTTTGGTACATTCGCGGCACACCGACCTTTGGACTTCGTCTTCGCGCATGCGCCTCCACCGAGTTGTTTGCTTACACTGATGCGGATTGGGCCGGTTGTCCTGACACTCGACGATCCACGTCGGGATATTGTGTCTTCTTCGGTGACTCTCTCATCTCATGGTCCTCTAAGCGGCAGCCCACTGTCTCCCGCTCGAGTGCTCAGGCTGAGTACCGTGTCGTTGCCAACGTTGTTGCCGAGACATGTTGGCTTCGTCAACTACTTGGCGAACTTCGGGTTTCAATCCCGAAAGCTACGGTGGTTTTTGTGATAATGTTTCGGCTACCTATCTCGCGGCCAATCCGGTGCAGCACAAGCGCACCAAGCACATTGAACTTGATGTTCACTTTTTCTGCGAGAAGGTTTAGTTGAGTCAGCTTCGTGTTCTTCATGTACCGACCACCCAGCAGTTCGCCGACATTATGACCAAGGGGCTTCCAACCGCTGCATTTCAGGAGTTCCGTTCTAGTCTTT